CGGGTATCGAAACCCGGTTTCTAGCGTTGTTTGTCCGCAGACATACCGCTGTGCCACTGGGGAGGGGGAGGGGGTGTATAGCAGTTAGAGAAAAAAAAAACAGCAAACGGAACGAACATATAGGCGTTGTTGACCACATTTCATGCCAGAAGACAACGTGAGACTGAAGAGGACACACGAATGTGTCCAAACAAGTTTCTCCGGTATCAAGACTTATGACAGTTTGTTCCGTTTACTGTGTTGTTGTTGTTGTTTTATCCTCTCACAGGCTGACGATCTAAACATCCACCTGAGAAGTATTAGAACTATTTGTAATAATCGATATATTAATCTATTGCTTTTGAGCGTTTGTAGAAGTACCTTGATGAGTTTTATTGCTGTCGCATTGGTTTCAAGTGATCGAGTGTACGTAGTATATTGTGGTATAAATGTTCCATTCAAGAACTGGGATTGTTTGTAAACCGATTAATTTTACTACTGTTGATTGCATTTAAATTGACCGGCTAAAAATGACAAATTTATTTCAAATCGGTTTATTCCTTTATTTACCGGCGGTTTTGCTTGGCAACTAACGTGTAAATTTCATAATGGTTTTACCCATTAGCGAAGCCCCCCAGAGGCACAGCGGTATGTCTGCGGACTTACAACGCTAGAATCAGTGTTTCGATACCCGTGGTGGGCAGAGCACAGATAGCCCATTGTGTAGCTTTGTACTTAATTACAAACAAACCATTAGCGAAAAACTAACTACAAATTACATATTTTTTAACAAACATTTATATTATGTCCATTGATTCAATTTTGAAATAACATATTTTCAGATCAAATTCTCTGCACTCACTGTAGAGGAAGGTTTAAGATCAATATATTTTTGTAAGCATTAGCATAGTATCACATCTTTCTCATTTTTATATCATATCTCCCCACAAGACAAGCATTGAGACTTAATGAATTGTTACAATGACCAAGTAAAATACACAAAATAAGAAATAAATAAATGATAACTATGAAACAATGAGGATATCTTTATTGTGGGTTTTACATTCACGTAGGGGGCAGATGGTTAGGGTGCTCGACTCGCAATCTGATCGTCGCGAGTTCGAATCCCCGTCACACCAAACATGCTCGCCCTTTCAGCCGTGGGGGCATTATAATGTGACGGTCAATGCGTTGGTAAAAGAGTAGCCCAAGAGTTGGCGGTGAGTGGCGATGACTAGCTGCCTTCCCTCTAGTCTTAAGCTGTTAAATTAGGGATGGGTAGCGCAGATAACCCTCGTGTAGCTTTGCGCGAAATTCATAACAAATCAAGCATTCACCTAGCATATCTCACACGTGGAGAAGCTAAGCACCATTTCGAATACGTTAGACAGGAATCTTGAGCTTGTGCTACAGTAAAAGAACCACATAAGACAGAGGAGACTTAAATAATGAAGAAAATCTCATGTGGAGATAGAATAACATAATTCAAGGTTCATTCTAATCCCTTACTCTGTGCTTGCCCAAAAGTCCATCAATGGACTTTACTTACTAATTACAAAATGTTTTTCTTATTCAAGGAGAAACCAGTTAGGGAAAAGATCAAATACTTGTTAACTTTCTTTATATTTATCAAAGTCAAAGCTCATTTCATTTTACCAGCGTATTCACTCCCTAACTCTACTTTCTTCCCTTCAGCTGGCATGTAAGGAAAATAATATATCCTTTGTAGAATTATTCAGTATACTTAGATTGTACACTTTAGATGATTAATGATAATCATATTACACTATATGATAAACATGAATTTAGAGACCCCTCTGTAAATACCTTATTCGTTTTGTTTTCTCCTATTTATTTTTTTCCTCAGTATACTAAGCTACGTTCTTTATGACCCAAATTAAATTTAAACTTGTGCATAACTCTTAAGCTGGTTATTTTTGTTTTATTCGTTTGTTTCGTCCCACGGTGGGACAGCGGTAAATCCACGGACTTTCAACGTTAAAATCCGGGGTTCGATTCTCTGTGGTATACGAAGCAGATAGCCCAATGTGACTTTGCTCTAAAGTAAACATATCAAATATATAATGAATATATTGTTTGTTTCAAAATTTTCACGCACAGCTACACGAAGGGCTATCTCCGCATAGCAGTTCTTAATTTTATACTGTTAGACTAAGTGAATGGAGCTAGTCACCGGCACCCTTCTCAACTGTTAGGCTAATCTTATCTGATTCGACAGTCACTGTAATAGCGCATCCACGGTCACAAAATGCAGAGAAAGTTTTTGCGACAACGAGTTGTAAACAATGGACCCTCGGATTCACAGTCTGAGCACGCAATTTGCCATACCTGACCAAAGCTTACATATCATAAAGATAATTATTTTCAAACTTAAAGTTAGCTGTGGCATTATTTGAACTAAACATATTGTTTTCTCATCGAGTTAACACGTCCCCCTTGAGTCATTAAATTCCACTAGTAACCCAGAAAGTACTACCTGAGATGTTGTGCAGTTATAAGAATATCACTCACTTGTCGAAACTGATATAGATTTAAGATCATTTTATGTATAGCATGTAAAATGTATCGTACGA